CTCTCTCTCATTCTATTCCTCTCTGGTCAAATTAAAAATAAATAAATATGGTTAAATACACACACACGCGCTCGCGCACACACACGTATATATATTAAAATAAATAAATAAAATGGTTAACAACATGGCACTCTTAGAATACTACTGTAACTACTGAATGGTGACAACTATTGGGTTGTCAGAAAAGTCTTAAGGCATTTTTGCATAGAAAAACACAAAAATATACATCATGACTTTTCAGACAACCCTATATATAAATATAAGTAAGGAAAGACCTTGGGATCAGCAGATGGTGTAATGATTATGTCACTGGACTCCCACATGGCCAACCGCAGTTCCAGTCCCAGACCCAGAAGTTTGAAATTCATGCTGTGCAAGTGTGTGCATGTCCAAAATCCCGAGAAGAGAATGGAGAAGGAGTTGCAATGTGGCCATACCCACTGAAGTGAAATTTCTCACTTTCTGGTGAGCGCAAGCGTCCTATAGCAAAAACCTCAAAAAAAAACAAACAAACAAACAAAAAAAACGGAAAGACCTCTGATAGATATAGTTTTAAAATTTGTATACAGAGGACCAGCAGTTGGCGTAATGGCTGTGGCTGGACTCCCATGTAGTCGACAGCAGTTTGAGTCCTGGACCCAGTGGCTTAAACTTATGTTGGGCGCGTGTGCACGTGTGCCCAAGATCCTGAGAGGAGAATGGAGAAGGGATTGTGGCATGGCCATCCCCCCTGGGGGGCTGATTTCTTGCTTTCTGTCTCTATGTCTCTCTCTGTTTTTCTGGCGAGTGCACATGCCCTATAGCAAAAACCTCTCAAAAAATTTTTTTTGTATACAGAGACACATACTCATGCATAAGCATACACATGTTTAAAATTACAGAGAATATCCCTAGAATGCATAAGAAGCTGGCAATAACAACTAGATTCATGGAAAGGTGCAAGTAGTTGTAGAATGGAGAAGAGAAAAGGACTTAATTTACTTCCCACTCTATACACTCTTTTATAATTTTAATTTTATTCTATTTATACTTTTCAAAATACTTTTTTAAAATTTAGATATCTGACTATGGTGTAGTCTAAATGAAAGAATTCTCCAATTTTCTTTCACCAACAGTTTTTCAATTTAAGAATCATAAAGTCAGCATTCTAAAGACAAACCTTTTTTCAAGTCTAATGACTCCATCATCAGTTCCAGGACAATTAAAATCCTAAAGTCCACTTCAAAGCAGAAACACAATTATTTACATTGCAATAGAATTAAAGGAGTAAAATTTAGATCTCACCTGACCAGGTCTCCATGAAGCTGCAAATAAAGGCTTTCTCTCCCCTCTCCAGCACATATTTCTGACGCTGGTGTCTCTACTGTGCAAAGGACCAGATGTAAGTCAGACGAGGAGGAGGAGGTGGAGGTGGTGGAGGTGGAGGTTGCAGTGGCAGTGGTCGTGTCCGCTCCGTAAAGGTAAACACAGCCTCTCTTCACATCTTCTCTCAGCCAGTCTCTCTCTCGGGAACCAAACCTACTTCTCCTATTCAAACAAGTTCTGCTCCCATTGCGTTTCATATTTCTCTAAAAAACATCAAGAGAAAGAAATCATTAGCTACATCTGACTGAATGGCACACGTTCAGTCCCCACCTCTCTTGATATTCACCAGCACACTAAACTCAAGTACCTCCTCCTCTTGTGAAGCCTTCCCCATCAGACATGTTCCTAACTTGGATAACTAAATTTGCTGTACTATTAGCCGCTCACATCTCTATCCAACATCACTTTTGAACCTCTCTTCTTATGTTTTCAGAAAACTGTCAAGAATAATGAAGCATCTATGTGTCTACTATCCAACATTCACAAACTTTAATATTTTGCCATATATGTGTATATCTATCTATAAACTATTGGGTTGTTGGAAAAGTCATGACAAATTTTTGCACAGAAAAACAGAAAAAAAATATGTCATGACTTTTCCAACAATTCAACATGTACGTGAGCCTTCAACAAGCTCATGAATGGGCCTGTCAGTTGGTATGGTTGTTAAGGCAGCTAGAGCTCACCTGGCCAAGTATGTAGTTTGAATCCTGGATCTGGGGGCTTGAAAGATATGCCGGACACATGTGTGTGCATGCCCAAAATCCCAAGAGGAGAACAAAGGAGAAAGGATTATGGCATGGTCATCACCACCCTCCACCCCCACGGGTGATTTTTCACTTTTCGTCTCTCCAGCAAGCTCATGAATCCTATAGCAAAAGCTTTAAAAAAGATTTTTTTTCATGAAAAAGTAGAACTAAAATATGAGTTTATCTTGGTATCAAAAAGAAAAAAATTCATGAAACTTTTCATAATAATAATTTTTCCATGAAGTTTCTGAAGATCCTCATAGTACTGTTTTACCTAATTTTAAGTTATCTAGGCCTGGCCCTGTGGTATAATCAGTAGTATTCTGAACTGCAGTACTCAGACCTTCTGACCACAGGTTCAGTTCCCAAGTTGACTTGAACACATTCTGGGTATGTATGAGCCCAAGGGAAGAGAATTATGGTGTGAAGAGTATCTGTTGAGGGTACTACTCTCTCACATCAATAAAATAAATAAACTTTAAAAAAATGTTTATCTAAATCTTAACGTACTTAAGTTACACCCTAAATTTTGATATTTGATTCCACACTGGTTTAGAGATATGTCTATTAATACGACCAACTCATTCATTGGAGTAACAGTCCATTAGTGAATATGCCACACTTGGGACCAGCACATGGCATAGTGGTTGAGGCACTGGACACTCCCACATGGTTGACCACAGTTCAAATCCTGGACATGAAGGCTTGCTTTCTCACTTTCCCTCTCTTTCTCTCTCTCCCTCTCTCTCTCTGTGTCTCTCTCAGGTCAAATTTAAAAAATAAATGAAAAAATAAAATTAAATAATTCTTTAAAAAAACATATGCCACACTTGATCCACTCAGATGAGGATGGGGTGAGGATGTAATAGTTTGTTTCTAACTTTTCACTGCTGGAAACAATGATGCCACAAACATTTTTGCATTCTTTATGCCAATTTGTAAGTTTCCCCAGGGTCCAAACCTTCTGCCTCATATCCCAAATGATTAAGTATTGACACAATATTGCAAATATCCTTTCCATGCCTGTCAAGTTTCAGAAAAATTATGGTCAACATTTGATAGCTTAGGTATGTGAAATTCACATACTGTGAAGCCAAATTATCTCAGAGCAAAAACAACTACTATAGTCAATATAGCAAGTCTCTAAAGATTAATACTGGCCTGGCTATTGGTTCTTTTAGACAGAGAACTCTCAATGACAATTACATTGACATACTTCTCCAACACGTCACCATCCTGCCTCTGTTTTGTTCATACCCAACTACTGGTAGCTCCCCAAACACACTAATGATTCCACATTTCTGTGACCTGTCTGAAATGTCATCAACCCTGAATATCCTATTGTACTCAGATGTCACTCTTGCTATGGAGCCTTCCATATGTCCCACTCACAATCTCCCTTCCTGCCTAGAAAAAAATACTTTCTTAGCAAGACTTTTTCACCTTGAATATACTTCAAATACTAGATATGTGACAGTGGGTATTAATTATTTATTTGATATCTCTTCCTTTCTTCTCCAATGGGCATCCGCTGCAGTGCCTTCACACCTAGATGGCACAGACATGTAAGCAACTCAAGCTTACAGCACAGACACTTACACTGTGCACCCTGGCACAATTACATCTGGCAAGACTTTGAGCAAACTAAGAAAAAAAAATTCACTTTTGTAGAGAACTGTACAATCTTCTCTTTCTATCAGATGCAAAGTAAAGGGGAGTAAATGCAATACTTTCTCTAGTATTTCTCACTGGAAAAAAGAAGTACTTATAAATAAAGCAATATTATTTTATAATCACTAAGGTTAAATACTTCAGGCTAACTATCACTTAAAATTCAATTTCTTCTTTTTTGCTCTTTAATCACATGTGCACTTGTCATAAGCAGGGAGGGAGAGGGAGAAAACAGCCACCAGTACGACTCGGTAGCACTTCCTCTCCTTCACTCCACGTCAGGACCCTGGGTGCACGTACACACACACCCAACTTGTCTCTCAAGCCACCCACTGGCCAGGTGGATTCTAGTTCTAACCACAAGGTCACAAGCTGGCCCTTAAAGTTAAATTTGTAAAGATGGTAAAGAAGGGGAAGGAAAAGTTAGCATTAGTAGGTATTTTCTGTGGGAGGAAAGAAAAACAAGGGTGAGAACAGCTCCCTTGTTAAAATTTAGGATAATAGGTAAGTTGATCATTTTGCAGATGTTGGAGATACAGTTACTCAAAACTATAATGATTATTACTGGTTCTAGTTTCAGAGAAGTAGGATAAACCCCTGCTATGTAGGTCTCCCTTTTATCAAGTACATTTTCATAACATGGTAAGGACATGACATTTGTGGGACTATGTCATTTTAACCACTGAATAGTTAACTAGGCATTAATTTTAAATATCCCTTACTTTGTCAACTTCAGGAAAGATTCCCGGGTCCATCTGAAAATGTTATTTCTAGGGTACGATAACGTGTACACACCAGCTCTGCATCCTGCACTCAGCAGAAAGGAACAAGCAGACACTACTCCACACAATCGCCCAAAAGCTTCTTTGAAAAACATTTTTGAGTCAGCCAGTTAATAGGTGGTTAAGGCAGCTGGACCCCATACAGCAACTTGAAAAACATACCAGGCACATGGGCAATACATGCCCAAAATCCCAAAAGGAGGATGGAGAAAGGATTGCAGCATGGCCATCCTCTCTGGAAGATGATTTCTTACTTTCCTTCTCTCTCTCTCTCTATCTCCCCCCAGTGAGCATACATGTCCTACAGAAAAAATAAAAAAAGAAAATTAAAGTCAAATAATGGCCCACTGAACTTCTCAGACAGAAAAATCAAGAAAAATGCCAGAAAGTATATTAGTTCATAGGTGGTTTTTCTTTGGTCAAGATTTTTAAGTCATTTTTTAAGTTCATATATACTTCCATTAAAAATACTGGCTTGTTGGGAAAGTCATGATGCATTTTTGCATTGAAAACCGTGGAAAAATAAGTCATGACTTTCCTGACTACCTAATATAACCTCCTGGGCCACCCCATGATCTAGGGATTAAGAGACGGGCCAGCAGGTGACATAGTAGTTAAGGGCAGTAGAAAGGGCAGTTCCAAACCTGGTGGCTTGTCATCTCACTTTCCCCTCTCTCTCACTCTGTCCCTCTCTGGTCAATTAAAATAAATGAATACATAAAATTAAATAAAACAATTTTTTAAAGAGAAAACTGGATCCCATATGGCTAAGCGTACAGTTTGAATCCCAACACTGGTGGTTTGAAAACACACCAGGGGCTTATGTATGTGTCCCAAATCTTAACAGTGTGGAGAAATGGAGAAGAAGGAATTATGGTGTGGCTGTGCCCCATGGGAGGTGCTTTCCATCTCTATCTCTCTATCTTTCTCCAGCAAGTATATGTGCCCCCTGGCAAATTAAAAAAAAAAAAAAAAGGTAAAAACTGTAAGTGTGGGGCCAGCAGGTGTCATGGTGCTTAAAGGTGCTAGACTCCCACATGGCCAACCATGGTTCAAACCCTGGACCTGTTGGCTTGCTTTCTCTCTCTCTCTCTCACTGATCAAAGTGGAAAATAATAATAATACATAAAATTAAATAAAAAATAATTCTTAAGAAAAAAACTGTAAGTTCCTTAAGGGATTTACATTATCAAAATATAAGTGTGGCTGGTCCTCATTAACCTCAAAGGACCAATCTCCTGTCTAGATGTGACCCTCCCCATGAAGATGGACTACTGATTCAGAACATCAATAGATATCAATGCCTTAAACCTGATCAATAGGTACTAAAAAGCCCTGAACACTAACCAAAATAAAGTCTCCTAGTCATAATCAAGTTGAACTGTTCAACTATTACCGGCTCTGCTGCTTCCTACTCTGTAATGTCCTGCTCCACCGTCTCACACATCAGTAACTATTACAAAGATTTCTTAGCAGCCAGTCCTGCCAATAACAGTCCTCTCAACTGCTTTCAGCCCTGTGAATCACCATTCCACTGCTAGATTGAAAACACTTTATTTTGTCTCTTCTTCACCTAAGAACTGCTTTCACAAATTTATCTACAAGTGAATCCAACTGCAATCATCTAACTGCAATCACATCAAATAAGTATATAAAGAACACATTTAAGATGAAAAGCTCTGGGACCAGCAGTTAGCATAATGGCTATGTCACTGGCCTCCCACGTAGTCGACCGCGGTTCGAGTTCCGGACCCGGTGGCTTAAACTCACGCCAGGCGCGTGTGCGTGCATGCCCAAGATCCCGAGAGGAGAATGGAGGAGGAGGAGGGATTTCTGTGTGGCCATCGCCCCTGGGGGGT